TATATATATACACACACTACATTGCCAAAAGTATTCGCACACCTGCCCTGACTCACATGAGTTTCAGTGTCATCCCATTACTAATCCATAGGGTCCAATATGACGTTGGTCCATCCTTTGCAGCTAGAACAGCTTCAACTCTTCTGGGAAGGCCACAAGGTTTAGGAGTGTGTTTATGGGGATTTTTTACTATTTGTCCAGAAGCGCATTTGTGAGGTCACATACTGAAGTTGGACGAGAAGGCCTGGCTCACAGTCTCCGCTCTAATTCATCCCATCGTTGTTCTATCAGGTTAAGGTCAGGACTCTGTGCAGGTCAGTCAAGTTCATCCACACCAGACTATGCCATCCATGTCTTTATGGACCTTGCTTTGTGCACTGGTGCACAGTCATGCTGGAAGAGGAAGGGGCCAGCTCCAAACTGTTCCCACAAAGTTGGGAGCATGGAATTGTCCCAAATGTCTTGGTATGCTGAAGCAATCAGAGTTCCTTTTACTGGAACTAAGGGGCCAAACCCAGCTCCTGAAAAACAACCCCCCCAACATAATCCCCCTCCACCAAACTTTACACTTGGCACAATGTAGTCAGACAAGTACCGTTGTCCTGGCAACCGCCAAACCCAGACTCGTCCATCAGATTGACAGAGAAGTGCGATTCATCACTCCAGATAACGTGCCTCCACTGCTCTAGAGTCCAGTGGCGGTGTGCTTTACAACACTGCATCCGACGCTTTGCATTGCACTTAGTGATGTATGGCTTGGATGTAGCTGCTCGACCATGGAAACCCATACCATGAAGCTCTCTGCTCACTGTTTTTGAGCTAATCTGAAGGCCACATGAAGTTTGGAGGTCTGTAGTGATCGAATCTGCAGAAAGTTAGCGACCTCTTCACACTATGCACCTTAGCATCCGCTGACCCCGCTCCATCAGTTTACGTGGCCTATCTTCATGACTGAGTTGCTGTCATTCCCAAACACTTCCATTTTCTTAAAATACTGTTGACAGTTGACTGTGGAATATGCATAGGTGGCATCCTATCAGTTCCACGTTGGAATTCACTGAGCTCCTGAGAGCGACCCATTCTTTCACAAATGTTTGTAAAAACAATCTGCATGCCTAGGTGCTTCATTTTATACACCTGTGGCCATGGAAGTGATTAGAACACCTGATTCCAATAATTTGGATGGGTGAGCAAATAAATACTTTTGACAATGTAGTGTATATGAAGGCGTTTTAAACCCCTTCCACACTTGCCATATCCTAAACAATGTTTCTAAACTCTAAATGTTCTACAAGAGCACAGAAGGTCATGATTTCAGCTCCCTGCCTCATCTGCTCTTCGACACCTGCAAGCGCTCTTGGCCACGCCCACTTCTCCGCACTGCACGCTGAACAGCTGATCAGCTGCAGCAGGAAGTTTATCCTGCCGTATGAGCTGCACAAAAGCACAGCAGGTGCTAAATAATTTTAAATAATTTATTTTAGATAAAAATTCCATGCCGATCGTGCGGCTCATCCATGAATCAGCCAGTTGTGTGTCATGTCCAATCTCATATTGAAAAACTGTGATAGAGCGAGTCCGCGATAAACGAACCGCGAAGTAGCGAGGGACTAATGTATGTGTATACGTATACATGTATACATACACTGCCTGGCCCCCCAAAAAAAGTCTCCACCTGGATTTAACTAAGCAAATAGGTATGAGCCTCCTATCAGATAATTACTGCATGGGTGATTAAATTTCAGCTGCAACAAGTTATTTACCCCAACTGGTGCAATGAGTTGCTTCTCATTTCTTAAACAACCATGTCAAAGACACATTGTGTGGTCGTGGAAAAGATGTCAGTCTGTTTGAGAAGGGTCAAATCATTGGCATCAAGCAGAGAAAACATCTGAGATTACAGAAACTACTAAAATTGGGTTAAGAACTGTCCAACGCATTATTAAAAACTGGAAGGATAGTGGGGACCCATCGTCTTCGAGGAACAAATGTGTCCGGAAAAAAAATCCTGAATGATCGTGATTGGTGATCACTTAAATGTTTGGTGAAATCAAATAGAAGAAAAACAACAGCAGCACTCAGGGCTGTGTTTAATAGTGAAAGTAAGAGCATTTCCACACACACAATGTGAAGGGAACTCTAGGGATTGGGACTGAACAGCTGTGCAGCCTTAAGAAAACCACTAATCAGTGAGGCTAACTGGAAAAAAAGCTTCAATTTGCTAGGGAGCATAAAGATTGGGCTCTGGAGCAATGGAAGGTCATGTGGTCTGATGAGTCCAGATTTACCCTGTTCCAGAGTGATGCATGCATCAGGGTAAGAAGAGAGGAAGGTGATGCACCCATCATGCCTAGTGTCTAGTCATCAGTGCAAGATCTTAGTGAAAAATTAATGCAACACTGGATGGAAATAAATCTTGTGACATTGCAGAAGCTTATAGAAACAATGCCACAGTGCTGCTGTAATCAAAGCTAACGGCGAAATATTAGTGTATGACCTTTTCTTTGGTGGCGACTTTGTTTTTGGCCAGGCAGTGTGTGTGTGTGTGTGTGCGTGCACGCACACACACCACTTTTGAAGATTACATTTACGTTCAGACCTCTTATGCATTTTAAACCCAGTTCAGCCTGGAGTCAGACTGGGCCCACAGTCCACCCAGTCTCTTAATCTTTGCCGGCTCTGCTTTTGTTTGCCTTCAGCAGTGATGCCTTATCATGGCAAGACTGTGAGAATGTCAACTCAGCAGTAACTGCACCTCGTCATTTGTCCAGAACACCCCTCCACCCCAAAACATGCTCATGGAAAAGACTGAGTTGTTCACACACTTTAGCACATCACTCATAACATGTCAACACAACAAAACAGGTCTGACATCCCCATAAAAACATTTACTACTCTTATCGATCTAATTCTAATTATCTAATTAAAATAATAAAATAATAAAATATATTAAAATAATAAATAATCTAAAATGTATCAAAGGGAAAGCAGTGCAGACATGGAACTATACTTAACTTACATTTCATCCAGAAAGTATTCACAGGGCTTCACTTTCTCCACATTTTGTTACAACCTTATTCCAATTTTTATTCATTTCTTTCCTCTACATTCTACACCCCATTATGACAATGTGAAAAAAAAATGATGTTTGATATTTTTGCTTATTTGTTGAAAAAGAAAATCTCTGTAAATGAAGTGAGTTGGAGGTGTGCTCACATTGTACTCCAGTTGGGTAAGATCTCCTGGTTCCACACCTGGGCTGCTGTTCCGATGCTCTCTTCAAGCTTACATCGATCCTCCAGCTGCTTCTTCCTTTTCTGAGCATCCTTCAACTCTACAGAAAGCAGGTGGTTAAATACATAAATAGAGAAACACGAATGAGAGCAAGAAAAAAAAGGTTGCAGTGGAGAGCAGGAAGCCAACCTCTCTTCTTGGCCTGGGCCACCATCTCTTCATACTGCTGTCGGTGTTTCTGGGCCTCCTCTGCAGGCTTGGCAGGCAAATTACTGAAAAAAACAAACAGGCATAGACAGGGAATGGGTTAGTGAGCAGCCATGAGATCTTTGAGTTTTACCTGTATTATTTATGATCAGAGACCTTGTAGCATATAGATTAGAGGAGAAGAATCACTTATTGGGGACGCACCTATTATTCTACACCTCGGAAGCGAGTCTACATTTCTATCTCCGTTAATGCGGCCCGAACCACAATGACTACCCCCACAAAAGTTATATCAAGACGACTGGCTTGGCCCTGTGATGTGTGCTATTACTTTTATTGGCATTTCAAGTTACCATGGCGAAGTAATTTGCAAACAAAGACGCAATATTTCACCCACTCCAGGAACTAGTTGGTGACTGCCCACTTATTATTCTACACCTGAAAAGCGTATCTTTTTCAGCTTTAATGCAGCCCAAACCGCAAAGTGGACCCCTACAAAAGTTATTTCCAAACGACAGGCCCAGCCCCGAGATGTGTGCTATTAATTTTATTGGCAATTGGCGTTACCATGGCAACATATTTTGCTAACAAAAATGACAAATTTCCCATAGGAAATGAAGAGAAAACTTTTCAAAGAAACTGAGTAACGTCGGGAGCCATTTTGGTTCAACATGCATGGAAGGCACCAATTATCACCTATTATTACCGTTATTAATTAGTAAAAAAAAAAACTAAATGATTAATGATTCATTTTAATAATTACAAATAATAACATTAATATTATTAATAATAATTTATATTTAATATTACTTATTAATATCAATATTATTATCAAATATATTAATAGTTTATATAATTAATAAATCAATGCTATATTAATAATTATTAATATTATTAATTAATAATTATTATTATTATTAATTCTACTTTAATAATAAATAGGCAGTCCCCATCAAAGTTTCTCCAGGAACTTTCTAGTTGTGTTTAGTCCTGTAACTTGTCCATAATAATAAAAAAATAACTCTTTATACCATGACAAGCTACATAAAACCCTGAGGGACAGATCCTACCCAAAGGATTTAAATTATTAATTAAGCCTAGCTGCTTCTCAGAGATTATCGCCGTTGTACAAGCTGCTACTTTTGTCTCACACTTTGTATCCCACAGTTTATATACAGGAGCGTCTTATTTATACATTTTTTTCAAAATTTTCAAAATTCACATTTTTTAATTGTATTTTGAAGGACTCCCTGCTTTCTCTTGGTAGCTTCCTGCCACTAACACTTTCCTTTGACAGAGCTGGGCACTTGTGGCTCTCAGTACCCCGCCCCTCATGGGGGCAGGTGTTTGTGACACAGAGAGAATGCCCTCAAGACATCAGATACACGACTTTTGCTCATGGTTTCAAATACCAAACCATAACTCCACCCACTCTGTCATCATGTGACCAGAAGTCTAACCTGAATGACCAATGAGGTACTCTCGAGGACCATCCTCCAAGATAGACGTGAATTAATTTCCTTAGATCGTTCCTGTGTTTATAGTATTTTGCGCTTAATGCACAGACCTGTTCATTTGCTCAACGATAATGGAAAACGCGCAGAGAATTTCTTATGACACAGTTTTCATGTTAAAAGCGATCTATCGGCTGTCAAGGAGGAAACGGCTGCAGCCCATAAGCTGCATCAACGTGTCGATGGTCAGGATTGGAGACAAAAGCAGTCAAGTCTGTTACATGTTTAATAAAAGTTTTAAAATTCTCTCTGTGTGACATTTTTCTGTGCTGATAAATATGCATTTAAGTACCAGGATCTCACTTTAAAGTCACATCCGAACACGAGGCGGAGAAGTCTTCCCCCTCACCTTCCGTCCATGAGAGCTTAACGGTGGAGAAGTCGTCAGATTTATTTTTAAAGCAGTCAGTCAAGACTGGTACATATTTAAATAAAAGTCAAAAAATACATATGTGTATGGTAAATATGTGATTAAATACCAGTATCTCATTTTAGCTTAAACAGGGGCATGAATGGGAGCGGAGGAGACAACGACACAGGAAAAGAAAAAGAAGAACAAGGAGGGAGGGGCTGTTCTCCCTCATATTTCTGCTGAGGAGAAATCACATCAAACTTATTTAGAAAGTACATTTAAAAACAGCAGTTGTTAACAAAAGTGTTTACCAATAAAAATCAATGGTACTAATTTAATAAATATTTACTGCATTCTACAGGTACTACAAACCAGATTCCAAAAAAGTTGGGACACTAAAATTGTGAATAAAAACTGAATGCAATGATGTGGAGATGGCAAATGTCAATATTTTATTAGTAATATAACATAGATGACAGATCAAAAGTTTAATCTGAGTAAATGAAACATTTTAAAAGGAAAAATATGTTGATTCAAAATTTCACAGTGTCAACAACTCCCAAAAAAGGTGGGACAAGTAGCAGTAAGTGGCTGGCAAAAGGAAATTGAGCATATAACGAACAGCTGGAAGACCAATTAACACTAATTAGGTCAATTGACAACATGATTGGGTATAAAAAGAGCTTCTCAGAGTGTCAGTGTCTCTCAGAAACCAAGATGGTAAGAGGATCACCAATTCCACCATTGTTGCGCAGAAAGACAGTGCAGCAATACCAGAATGGTGTTACCAAGCATAAAATAGCAAAGACTTTTAAGTTATCATCATCAACTGTGCATAACATCATCAAAAGATTCAGAGAATCTGGAACAATCGCTGTGCGTAAGGGTCAAGGCCGTAAAACTCTACTGGACGCTCATGATCAACGGGCCCTTAAACGTCACTGCACCTCAAACAGGAATGTCACTGTCAAGGAAATAACAGAATGGGCTCAGGAATACTTCCAGAAAGCATCGTCAGTGAACACAATCCACCGTGCCATCTGCCGTTGCCGGCTGAAACTCTACAGTGCAAAGATGAAGCCATTTCTAAGCAAGCTCCACAAGCTCAGACGTTTGCACTGGGCCAGGGGTCATTTAAAATGGAGTGTGGCAAAATGGAAGACTGTTCTGTGGTCAGATGAGTCACGATTTGAAGTTCTTTATGGAACACTGGGACGCCATGTCATCCGGACCAGAGAGGACAAGGATAGCCCAAATTGTTATCAACGCTCCGTTCAGAAGCCTGCATCACTGATGATATGGGGTTGCATGAGTGCTTGTGGCATGGGCAGCTTGCATGTCTGGAAAGGCACCATTAATGCAGAGAACTATGTTCAGGTTCTAGAACAACATATGCTCCCATCTAGACGTCATCTCTTTCAGAGAAGGCCCTGCATTTTTCAACATGATAATGCCAGACCACATTCTGCAGCAATCACAACATCATGGCTACGTAGGAGAAGGATCCGGGTACTGAAATGGCCAGCCTGCAGTCCAGATCTTTCACCTATAGAGAACATTTGGCGCATCATAAAGAGGAAGGTGTGACAAAGAAGGCCCAAGATGATTGAACAGTTAGAGGCCTGTATTAGACATGAATGGGAGAGCATTCCTATTTCTAAACTTGAGAAACTGGTCTCCTCTGTCCCCAGACGTCTGTTGAGTGTTGTAAGAAGAAGGGGGGATCCCACACAGTGGTAAAAATGGACTTGTCCCAACTTTTTGGGGATTTATTGATGCCATGAAATTTGGAAACAACAGATTTTTCCCTTAAAATGATACATTCTCTCAGTTTAAACTTTTGATCTGTGATTTGTGTTCTATTCTGAATACAATATTACATGTTGGCTAGGGGTTGAACGAGTATATAATTTTTAACTTGACATTAACATAATAAAATCAGAGTAGAACTCGAGTATTTGATGACGTCATATATCTCAAGATACAAAAATAAATAAATAAATAAAACCGCAAAAAAAAGGTTGTTATTTACAAAAAAAAAAAAAAAGACCAACAAAACATTGGGAGCGTATATTATCAGAGTCAGAGTCAGAGTCAGAGTTTCTTTATTGTCATTCGCACCTCATGTGGTACATGTGGTGGAGCGAAATTATGTACACAAGGTCCCAGTTACATCCGACAATAAAATGTATAAGAAAAACAGTAATGCTGTTATGTTATGCTCCTAACATTTATCATACTGCAAATAAGTCACAGGAAAAACTAAACTATTAGTTATTATTATTAAACTGCAAACGTGAAGAAACGTGCAGCACGTCAAAAACGAAACTTAACTGAAACTGGTTCGGTGGATTGGACCCGGTGTTACACCATACTCTGTGACCTGCAACAGTGCAACACCGCCCCCTACGGTCATACGGTGGTCACATAATATGACGTCACTACGGATACTCGATGTTAAATTTTTAACCTCGATAGATGTCCTAGCAATCAATGTGTAGATTACTCGAGTACTCTGTTAATGCCCTAATATTGGCACCTCCACATCATTGGTTAGTTACATTTTGTAGTCTTATTTGCTGCCAACTAAAAGAAGCCTTCATAATCCACTCTAACATGATTCACTTTACATCAGTAGCTGCAACAAAACTTTCACCTATTTTCTCCATCAGGTCTGGTTTACTTGCAGATAATATTGATAATGAGACGAGTCCCTGAGGCTCAATGGGATTAACCTGTCTAAATAAAGGTTGAATGAAAGCAAACAAAAAAGATGGTTTAAAACACATGCAGACTAAATCCACTACTTTGTCTAGCAGGTGTCAGGAACCCTTCTCGAACCCTTTTTAATTTATCCCAATGGAACCTGATGAACCACTTTGGTCATGACTGCTTCAAACGAGTCGGCGGGGGAGAGGGATAGGCCTGTCACAATAACAAATTTTGCTGGGCGATTGTCTCTGAAATTATTGCGATAAATTATAATATTGTTTGAAATTTGAAAATAATGAGCAACTATTGTCAAATTTAAGAAGAAATGTTGGTTAATTTGTTTTGATGGTAGTACCTGTTTTTGATCACCAAATGGCAGTATAAGACTGTTGGAACCGAAGGATGGATAGTGAGGGAGCGAGCAGCGTGTCTTTAAGAAAAATTGGAGGAAGGTCCCTTGACGCGACACGGGCACTCTTTCCTTTTTTCTGGTTCTCAAAATGGCAGACACTCGGTGTAGTTTGAGCTCTTTAGCATTTTTCACTCAAAGCTTTTAATAAAAACTCAGTAAACAAGTCCTCAGCTTCTTTTTGCAGAGAAAAACAACTTTTTACACAAAGGCACGAGGGTTTCAACTGTGAATTTTGGAGCTTCGACAAGACAGAGGTTTTTTTTCTAGGTTGGCCTGTTAGCTTAGCTCGTAGCTTAGCTTCTCAGCTTAGCTGCTTTCAACGATCCAAAAACACAATTTTGGAAGTTAAAACAGATTTTAAAGAGAAAAGAGAAAGGGAGGGGTCAGTGAAGAGCACCAGAGTTGAGTCTTTTGTCATCCAGTGTCTTCAGTAGAAAGAGAGACACAAAGAAACGATAAAGCCGATAAATGAAAATGAGGTTGATAATTTTCATTCATCATGCGATTAATTGATTTATTGTTTATCGCGACAGGCGTAGAGAGGGTGGACTCCAGAAACCATCTGAGCACCATCAAATTGGTTGACCCACTATGTGAAGGTGCTATTTATAAGACTTTTATAAGAGTTATAAGACATACAGGTCCTTCTAAAAAAATTAGCATATTGTGATAAAGGTCATTATTTTCCATAATGTAATGATAAAAATGAAATTTTCATATATTTCAGATTCATTGCACACCAACTGAAATATTTCAGGTCTTTAATTGTTTTAATACTGATGATTATGGCATACAGCTCATGAAAACCTAAAATGCCTGTCCCAAAAAATTAGCATATCATGAAAAGGTTCTCTAAACAAGCTATTATCTTAACCATCTGATTCAACAACGTAACTCTAAACACCTGCAAAAGATTCCTGAGGCTTTTAAAAACTCCCAGCCTTGTTCATTACTCAAAACCGCAATCATGGGTAAGACTGCCGACCTGACCGCTGTCCAGAAGGCCATCATTGACACCCTCAAGCAAGAGGGTAAGACACAGAAAGAAATTGCTGAACGAATAGGCTGTTCCCAGAGTGCTGTATAAAGGCACCTCAGTGGGAAGTCTGTGGGAAGGGAAAAGTGTGGCAGAAAACGCTGCACAACGAGAAGAGGTGACCGGACCCTGAGGAGGATTGTGGAGAAGGGCCGATTCCAGACCTTGGGGGACCTGCGGAAGCAGTGGACTGAGTCTGGAGTAGAAACATTCAGAGCCAGCGTGCACAGGCGTGTGCAGGAAATGGAATACAGGTGCCGCATTCCCCAGGTCAAGCCACTTTTGAACAAGAGACTGCGGCAGAAGTGCCTGACCTGGGCTACAGAGAAGCAGCACTGGACTGTTGCTCAGTGGTTCAAAGTACTTTTTTCGGATGAAAGCAAATTTTGCATGTCATTTTGAAATCAAGGTGCCAGAGTCTGGAGGAAGACTGGGGAGAAGGAAATGCCAAAATGCCAGAAGTCCAGTGTGAATCACCCACAGTCAGTGATGGTCTGGGGTGTCATGTCATCTGCTGGTGTTGGTCCACTGTGTTTTAGCAAGGGCAGGGTCAATGCAGCTAGCTATCAGGAGATTTTGGAGCACTTCATGCTTCCATCTGCTGAAAAGCTTTATGGAGATGAAGATTTCATTTTTCAGCACGACCTGGCACCTGCTCACAGTGCCAAAACCACTGGTAAATGGTTTACTGACCATGGTATTACTGTGCTCAATTGGCCTGCCAACTCTCCTGACCTGAACCCCATAGAGAACCTGTGGGATATTGTGAAGAGAAAGTTGAGAGACGCAAGACCCAACACTCTGGATGAGCTTAAGGCCGCTATCGAAGCATCCTGGGCCTCCATAACACCTCAGCAGTGCCACAGGCTGATTGCCTCCATGCCACGCCGCATTGAAGCAGTCATTCATGCAAAAGGATTCCCGACCAAGTATTGAGTGCATAACTGAACATGATTATTTGAAGGTTGGCGTTTTTTGTATTAAAAACACTTGTCTTTCATTGGTGGGATGAAATATGCTAATTTTTTGGGACAGACATTTTGGGTTTTCATGAGCTGTATGCCATAATCATCAGTATTAAAACAATTAAAGACCTGAAATATTTCAGTTGGTGTGCAATGAATCTGAAATATATGAAAGTTTCATTGTTATCATTACATTATGGAAAATAATGACCTTTATCACAATATGCTAATTTTTTGAGAAGGACCTGTAACTAAGACACTTTGTGACTCAACAAAAATAAAATTGCACATAACACATTTTTAGCAGTTATGTGTGTACATAAATAAGCTAAGTACCACTTCTGTGCAATTTACACAAGTGACAACTTCTATATTTTCCTAAATGTATGTGTCTTCAATTAGACTCCAACAGTCGCAACCCAGTGAAGTACAAACTCAAGTCTCAACGTTTTTAACATCACATAATGATGACTGTAGAGGACAGCCCAACTGTTTTTACATGAATGAACTTTATTAAGCACACGTGACATCTGTCTGTGGTTTTATAGAGGACTATCCAGTGAACACAAAAGCTTTTGACTTGACCCAATAATTCCATGAATACCAAGCAAAATACTGTGAAAGTTGCATTTCCTCTTGAATACAGAGCTGGTTTGTCTTCTTTAATTAATCAACAAAAGACCTACAGTTAACAACAGTGCAATTATCTGACCATATCCACTGACAGAATCTGACCATACAGAGTTTATCTAGCTTTTGGAGACAGAAGGGATCTGCCCGACAGTGATGATATTTTGCCCATTTCAATTTGATCCAAGTTCCCAACGTGATTAAACCATGAAAGCAACTATTTATTAGAAGACAATATGTGGAGAAATATAAATATTAGCATAACAGATTTTTTTTTATGTACCAGAGAAAGCTGCTGCTAAACAGACAGTTGTATAAGCACATCAGTTTGTGTGCAACCTAATGAAAAGCAGCTAAAAACTGAACTCGTGGTGCGCGTCAGTACTGTTCGTTTTCATGTGCAGCAGAGAAAAACGAACCCCTGCATTTACCTGCTAACAACCCATGAAGGGGTGAGGAAGAAAACAAAAAGCCAGTGTAATGGAGCCTGGCTTAGGAAGGCCCATTAAATTTTCAGCAATGCTTCTCTTTTACCGACTGTGATACAAACAGATAAGATAAGTTGGAAATGTGCTGAATCATCATTAATGATTAGGCAAAAGAAGAAGGTCTGAAGGAAAAAGTACAAGAGGAAGATGAAAAGAAAACAACTGATGTTCTGGTTACTGTGTGGCTTAAAACAGCTGGTTGATTTTGACAGTAAAAAGGTTCAAGAGTCCATAGTAAGCCTGTGTGTGTGTGTGTGTGTGTGTGTGTGTGTGTGTGTGTGTGTGTGTTTGTACATACGCAGGTCTGTGTTCGAGTATCAGTGCAGTGGTGGAGAGTGGCTCAAAGTCCAGGTTCTTTCTCACACTCTGCCTGGGGGAAGTCGGGTTACCAGGTCCAGGTCTGCTGCTCTTTATTTCATATTCCTGAGGACAAACATGCAGATTTAGATACAGAAAGAGCAAAAACAAAAGGCACAACTACAGCCACTCCAACTAGTTTGTCATCCAGTCTCATGTTGGCTTTGTTTTGTGCGACTGGCAAAACATGTGTTAAAGGGAAAGGTCAGCTACTTTGCAGTAAGATACCATGGAAAAGTTAACTATTATCCTGCCTGTTGGAACTCCTTGAACAACCTCAATTTGGAGAAATATAGTTTGTGTTCAACAGGACAGATGAGCTAATGGTTAGTCATAACTCCAACTGAATAGGACTGCTGCAAGGGGTAAACAATAAGAGCACGTGATTACAAAATTATTCAGTATTGTGAATTTCCATGTGCCTGCTGGGGGCACCAAGGTGAGTTGAGGTTCATTTGAATGCTAAAATGTGTATTTTTAACATGCCACTTGTATTTGGGATTTTGTTAGATATTTTTAGACTGGTCCTATGGTTTTGATCTGCTCAGAGATGGGATTATAATGAAATTATGACCCGGTTCTGACTGGGTTAAACTGGGCCAGCAACTCTAAAAAAAGAGTCTCCCTGGGATTCAATATCTGTCAAGGAACAGAGTTTAATCTGCTTGCTACATCACGTAGAAAGGCTTTTGAAGCACCGTCTCATATTTCCTAACATATCAGAACCACATAAGATCCATTGAGATCACATTTAGTCACACCCCCTCATACACTGACAGGTTGAGCTCCCCTTCTGCGAAGGAGGAGTCCAGGACCCTATAAATGAGTAATGACATGGGACATGGAGGCTCTTCCGGGTTTGTGAACGCGTCACAGACCGGAGAGTCCAGCGCTGTAAATTGTAACCTTTTTCTGCCTTGATTTAATAATTGATAAAACCGAATTGACGTTTTCTTGATTTATTGATATTGTGAGTTGCCACTTCTGAGGGAGATTCGAGCCGGGGGGAGAGACGTGGGCTGGAGGGGGTTTCCAGGTCTGGTGGCCTGCAGCCAGCTCCAGTCTTTAACCATTTACTAGAATCCTTTGCAACATTGATCTTGAACATATAGCTTTTTCTACTTTGATAAATTTTCTATTTATTGTCCTGATTGCCATATTGAAATGGTTTACACGAATATCCTGATGCATGCTCAATAATCCAGGTAGAAAAATCTAAAAAAGTTAAGTCTGGTCCTCTGGACATTCAAAAAACAAAACAAAGCAAAATAATTGTAGAAATGTTTCGTCTTTCATCTGAAAGACTTCTTCAGTCTGAGGTGCTGTATTCAGCTCAGTCTTATAAATAGCACCGTCTCAGAATGGATCAACCAGTTTTGCTGCTGACAGCCAAAACTAGCTGTTCACATGATTAAGGAGGACCATCAGCCTAACAATGGATCATTAGCACACTGATAGTTGTTTGCTATTCACAGAGCGCTGAGTGACACTGGCAATAACAGCATTGGAAGATGGAGGTAGTTGAGCATAGATGCCTCTGTTTAATGATGGACGGGTTCTCTTCACAAAGACGGCCTCATTTATTCCTCTCTCAAACCAACTAAACTAAGGGTGCATTAACACCAGCCCTGTTTAGTTTGCTTTAATCGAACTCTACCCTGTTTGTCTAGAAAGTCTGGTTCGTTTGTGTGTGTGTGTGGGGGGGGGGGGGGGGGGGGTGAATGTGCAATCGAATTCTGATGCGAACCAAAAAAAGCAAACTCTGGAGTGATACTAGCAATAAAAGCATTGTAAGAGGGGGGCAGTTGAGTACAGAGGACTCCACCCCTGTTTAATGATGGACTGTTTCTTTTCACAAAGATGGCCTCCTTTACTCGACTGGGTTCCTCGACTTGTTATGATGAATAGAAAACAAAAACTGCTCACAAACTAAAAGTTTCACTAGAAGTGCGAGCAATTATTACTGGGGTCCAAGCCACTTGACACATGTCAACCCTGGCTAATCCCTTGCTTATCAAGGAGAGGTACACCATACGCCATCTGATCCAGTTTACTACCCGCTGATAAGTTGACACCTCAGTTCCTCTCGTTGCCTGAGTGTATAAAATAAATGGCAGCAAATCAGATGACATGACTACAAAGTCAATCTTCAATCTATGACCTAGCGTGTCCTGGTGCCAAGTGCACTTATGGACACCCTATTGTTCAAACATGGTGTTTGTAATGGACAAACTATGACTAGCACAGAAGTCCAACAACAGAACGCTGCTTGGGTTCAGATCAGGGAAGCTATTTCTCTCAATCATGCCCCTCCAGATCACATTGTCGCTACTGACATGGGCATTTACGTCCCCCAGCATAAGAGTGTCCACGGCTGGAGCAGCTTCCAGCACACCCATTAAGGACGCCAAGAAGGCCAGATATTCTGGACTTCCATTTGGCATGTAGGCACAGGAAATTGTCAGAGCCATTACCCCCCCACCCAAAGGCGCAGAGAAGCTACTCTCTCGTCTATGTTATGTTGTTTGTCATATGAAGATTAACACAAGGTCAACAATGCAATGAAATGTTCAGGATGAGAAGAACCGATTATGACTCGCTAAAAAACAAGAAATACTAAAGCATGCAATAAGGATACAAAATAACATATCAAAAAGTGAAAAAGAAATGCAATATTTAAAAGGTCCAAAATATATATATAGTAAACAACAACATGGTAGAATATAGCAGTGCAAGCAGGATAAATTAGTATAAAAAAGTATTTCACAGGTAGTAATATAAAAGCATAATTGCACATGATATATTCAGACCATTTCCAAAAAATTAGAATATCATGGAAAAGTTTTTTAACTTCCATAACTCCATTCAAAAAGTTAATTTTTAATAGATGATAGATTCAGGGCCCACAATTTAAACAATTTCAAGTATTTGTTTATTTTTACATAATCTGGGCCTCCAGCTCATGAAACCCATGAAAACAGAATTTCAAAAAATTAGAATATTTTGAAGACATCCGACCACACTATTCAGTTTTTGCAGCAAAGAAAAAAAATTAGGATCACAACAAATCAATCAAAATATGGTACTTTCAAAACAAGATGTCAATCTTCAATACTTGGTTGAGAATCCCTTTGTCTTAATCACTGCCTCGATGCGACGTGGCATTGAGGCAATCAGCCTGTGGCATTGCCTGGGTGTTATGGAAGCCCAGATTTCCTTGATGCTGTCAGCTCTTCTTTGTTGTTGGGTCTGGTGCCCCTCATTTTCCTCTTGAGAATACTCCATAGATTCTCAATGGGGTTTAGGTCTGACGAGTTGACTGGACAGTCAAGCACTGTGGCATGGACATTAAACCAGGCTTTGGTGCTTCTGGCAGCATGGGCAGGGGCCAGGTCCTGATGGAAGATGAAATCTGCATCTTCATACAGATCCTCGGCAGAAGGAATCATGAAGTCCTCTAAAACATTCTGGTAGACTGTTGCAGTGACCTTGGATTTAAGAAAGCAGAGTTTACCAACACCTGCACCGGACATTGTACCCTAAATCATGACTGACTGGATATTTCACACTGGACCTCAAGTAGTATGGGCTCTGTTCCTCACCCTTCTTCCTCTAAACCCTTGGACCTTGATTTCCAAATGAAAGGCACACTTTACTTAAACGGAAAAGAGGACAGAGGAACCCAACAGTTGTGGCCAATCTCCTGGATGCGTCTGAATGTGGTGGTTTTTGAAGCTGTGACTCCTGCCTCATTCCACTCTTTCTGGATCCCTGCCCTGTCTTCTCTGTTTGATAATCTGCTGAAACCCACAGTCATCTCTTTTGCTGGTGCATCTTCTCCTGCCACATTTTGCTCTTCCATTAGACTTTCCATTGATATGTTTAGACAAAGCACTCTGTGAACAGCCAGACTCCTTAGCTATGAACTTTTGTAGCTTACCCATCCTATGGAGGGTATCAGTGATGGTCTTCTGGCCAGTTATGTCTGCAGTCTTCCCCATATTGAACTGAACTGAGACAAAATGAAGCAATTTAAAGACACCTGGGGAAACCTGTGCAGGTGCTTTGAGTCTAGTAGATGATCAGTGTGTCACACTCAGTTTAAAACATTCATGTCCTGCAAAATGTGACCTGATGTCTCCACAGTATTCAATTTTTTAAAATCCTGTTTTTGTGGGTTTCATGAGCTGGAAGCCCAAATTATGTAAAAATAAACAAATAAATGCTTGAAATCGTTTAAATTGTGGGCCCTGAATCTATCATCTATTAAAGATCAACTTTTTGAATGGAATTATGGAAGTTAAACAACTTTTCCATGATATTCTAGATTTTTGGAAAGGGTCTGTATTGCACATAACTACACGGGTTGTGTAACAGGTTCTATCTACTAGAGTTCTATCTAATGCTCCATTTGCACTGCTCCTAATTAGCCCCAACTCAGCTCAGCCTGGATTTGTACCTGCACTTTAGGACCGATTCTGGAGGCGTGTCCAGAATCCAAGTCCTGCTAAGTAGAATTTTGCGATGAGTTACTCAAAGCTCCTCAGATAAATAATATTAAATTATTATTTTTATATATGATTTTTTCTGTTCAGTGCCCTGAGACGACTTCTGCTATGACTTTGCGCTGTATAAATAAACTGAACTGAATTAAATCTGATGAACCAGAGTCTACAAAAACATTTCTATTTAAATCTAAAAAAGTTAAGTCTGGTCCTCTGGACATTCAAACAACAAAAAACAAAAAAAAAAGAAATGTTTCATCTTTCATCCGAAAGACTTCTTCAGTCTGAGGTGCTGTATTCAGCTCATAGCTATTTATACAAGACTGAGCTGAACACAGCTCCTCAGACTGAAGAAGTCTTTTGGATGAAAGATGAAACATTTATTCATTTTTTTTTTGTTTTGTTTTGTTTTTTGAATGTCCAGAGGACCAGACTTAACTTTTTTAGATTTTTCTACCTCGATTATAGAGCATGCATCAGGACATCTATTTAAAATTCTATATTTTTCTTCATCATTTGATGTATTTGTGCTCATTGTGGTTTTGTTTCTTGTATACAGAT